CCTATTTCTTTTTTATATCAAAAATACGAATTATTCAAATTCATTCATTAAAATAGATAAAAACCGTGACAAAATGTTACTGAGTTAAACGGTGTTGAGTTAGGTGGTACTGGGTTGGACAGTGCTGGGTTAGACGGTGTTGAATTAGGTAGTGCTGGTTTGGATAGTGCTGGGTTAGATGGTGTTGAATTGTTAAAATTATTAATACTGCTCATTTTGTATTCCTAAAAATAAAAAATCATAATGAATAAGGTTTCACCCAAGTAGTTATTCTAGAAAACAATTGTAGATCGAAACCTTCTATATAAAACAAATACATACGTTAAAAATAAATTACAAGTAAATTAAATAAAAAAAATTATATATAAGCAAAAAATATTATAACCTACCTAACAAGAAACAAAAAATTGCTTATTTTTATACTTAGCATTTATTAGATCTGAGAACCTGCCAGAAAAAAAAGTTACATAATTAGTAATCATGTTACTCTAGCACTACCAGATCACATTTAACAAAGCAATTCCGCTCGGTCATAAGTTCCATATACTGAAGCTATTTTGTTATTTTTCTAGTAAAATTAACCCTCCTTAAATTTGACGATCTCTCTTGCAAAGTAAAAAAGTCAATAATCTTGACGATCTGGGAATGCCAAGTTCCTGCAACATATGAATTTTGATAAAACTACTAATAAAGAACGTTATACTCATTGTCCTTATAGCCTTTTTAAGTGCTATTCTTATCATGGGATCGTATATTGTATAATAAGAAAATGGTCTAGATATAAATTCGTAATATTCGGTATTAATAAAAAATCGACTGTAGGAAATAATTCTGCAGGAGAGTGATACAAACCAGATGCCAATTTTGTAACCTGTATTACTATTATGAACTTTATTTTTTTGTGTGATCTAATCTATTATCACCCACTATCTTAGCCAATTATTAGCTAATTATTTTCTACTATTAGGGTATATAACTGATTACGGTAATCGATTGATATATATCGTTTTTTTTATATAATACATAATATAGCACATATGTTTGTTTACTATTCCACAACCCCCATTTATACATTATCATTATTATTTATACAAACTTATCAAAAATAGAGAAATAGCCCTAAACAGAATAATAATAACATATACATACGTATTTTAAAATCAAAGATCTGGATTATTTTAGAGCAATTTCATGTCAAATTATCATAGTGCCAAATACAATTAATTATTAGATAACTCCTTATGATTATTATAGACATACATATAAAATAGATCTAATTTCCAATTTTTAACAAAAATTTATAAGCTAATATTCTATCTTTAATATTATAGTCTTCTTAGATGTAGTCATTATCTTTAATAGCAGGCCCAGGATCTGACTGTTATCTTCCTAAATTTTATATTTTTGCTTTTCATTTTGCTATTGAAGGCGTGATCGTCATTCTTCTATATGGGGCGTATGCAAGGAGAGGAAGGTTCAACAGACTTCTTGGGTTTTAAACCACCAGGCTACACTATGTAAATAATATGAATATATCTACCTCGCTTTTTTGACATTATACATCTTCCTGATAGTCATGCAAAAAATTTTGTAAAAAAGTTAGAAATCTGTAAGACTGTTATAGAGTATACCAATCCTGGCTAGCTGATATAAAAAGTCTATAATTCTAGATAATAGAGCCTCTAACTTTGTATATTTATTTTCTATTATATTATTATAAAATACTGTTTAGAGAGCATGATTGTCAGACTATTATTGTTTACATAGTGAGGAGAGGAAGACCTGATAAGCTTCTTGTAGTTTAGTCTACTAAGCTATGAGATAAGAAATAGCTTTGAATGTACTGTATCTACTTCGAAATTTACATAAGTACATAACATGTTGCTATATTATTATTTATAATCTAATCCGAAAATTTTATGATATGCTAAATGAATTGGGTAAGTAATACATTTTTATTTTCTTGTACAAGATTATTTGTATTGATAGATCAATCACCCAGGTTACTTGTTACGAGTATATATAGTTATGCAAAAAATTTTGCTTGAGTTTTCATCTCTTGATGATAGAGCCTCTGACTTAGTATGTTATATATTTGAAAAGGCATAATTATCATTTCTGATAGCTTAGTACTTTGGCTTGAGTGGTTTGTTCAGTCTGCAAAAATAATTAATTAAGTGATTTGATTAGATTGTATAAAATATGATTTAATCTTATTTTTTATTTTCCTTTGAGTTGTATTTACTCTTACTATAACAATTAGTGCAAGTAGATCTTTCTACTATATATAATGACAAATTTTTTTCGAGTGAGCTCATATATTGAAATATTTTTCATGTAATTTTACTATTATATATTATTAAGACTTTATTTCAAATGTACAAAAAATGAATTGTGATATTCATTAGTATATAGTTAATAAAATCTGTTAGATCTATAAGAGTCATATAATCACCAAATGTAATAATAAGTTTATTAAATTGTTAAATTTGTCAGATCTTGTTATCTCTACTATTATTGATAAAAAAGCTAAATCGGTAAAGCTTATTAACAATCGTCCTGGATTTGATATGAAATATGTAGAGTTATATATTTACAAATATTGTAGCATTAATGATTATCAATGATTCTTTGAAGAACTCTTTGAGACTGAAAGATAATATGATACTTTATCAGTTATTCATCCCAACGAAACTTCACAACAATGGGCTATTTGAGTCAGAGTTTTTTTACAAGAGCTGGTCTCTGAAAAAAAAAGAAGCATATATCACGTATATAGTTTATTTGGCAGATTCAGAAATTCTAAGCTAGTCAATCATGACTACTACAGACCTAGAATCCATAAGACCAATGTGGGAATATGTCTAGATTGTATGAAGCTTATTCATGTTGATAATGTAAAACCAAAGAAAATATATGCTTTCACTCTCTATAGATATATTAAAAAGATTGAACTGGCAGATTTGATGAAATATCATTGGAATTATGAATGTAATAAACCTAAATCTCAAGATGGTCATGCACGAATTATTCAAAATGCTTGGAGATGATTCAAAGAAAGGGAGCCATCAAATGTATGACTTGTCTGGTTGAGTTTACCAAATAATAATATTCCAGATAATGAGAAATTTCTAGGCCTAACTTCTCATAAAGTGAAAAATCCTCAAACTCAAGATCAGTTCAATCTGTGGAAAGCTAAGAAAATTGCAATATATAGAAGATGTAACTCTAATATAGTCAGCCATTTTATTAATAATAAATATGAAGAATACTATATTCTATATGATTGAATAAGTAGAAAGAAAAACCAATTACAGGATAGATTTCAGAAATGTCTTTTGGAATTAATAGTATAATATATATTTAAAGTTTTGTATATGAGCCTATTTTACAGAACACAAAAATCTTCTATTGTATATAATACATAGAATGCACTTTTTCAAAAATATGGCGAGTTTATTTTTTTCACACCCACCTTAATTTCAACACCGGCTGGAGATGTGCATCTTCTCAATAATATAAAAAGTGGAAAGTAGGATGTGTTTATATTAATATGACAAAATTATAGCAGAAAAAATAATTATTAATTGTCAAGCCTTATTCTATTTATCTAATTTCAATGGTGTGTCCCAACCTAATCTAATTGCAAGAGAATCATCAACTGCCTTAATAAAGTCAAAGACCACGAAATCTTGATTCCGCAAATGTTTATTAATAATTTTGGATGCTTTTTTTGGATTATCTGTATATTGTTGCACAATTCTATAAATATTGTCTCGAGACCTCCTATTGTTAAATAATGCAAGATGGCTCAGATTTTTACAGATAATTTTAAAAGTTTGTGTATATTTCTGGCTCACATATATGGGTGAGATATTTTGATGCCAGCCACTAATGAAGTACAGAATAATTCATTCTTGTACTTTCTTTGGCTCAGCACATAAATCCTCAAACACAACAGCTGTACTTCATTCTGGTGTGAATTTAGTTATATCTGGAATTTTATTTGAAGATAACTTTTGAATGTAACATCCTCTCGATATGGTTTCGGGCTATTTGCAAAGATCTGATAGCTATTTTGTACAAGTTGCCATTTAGGCTCAAAATGCTTGCCTATTAATACAAGGTCATAATTTCTAATATACCACTAACCTTTTTTCCTCTTGAACATATGTTGTAGCTTGTTACCAAGTATAAGATTTATAACCATATTAGTTTTTCCGCTATGGGAGCCTCCACATACCAATAATCTGAATGGGGCATCTGGTGAATACTTATTACTTTTTATTCATTTTGAGAATTTGTTAGATGTCTCATCGATATTGTATACAAATATGGGTATTTTTTCTTCTTCCATCCTGATTAATCTAAGTAATACTTATATGTTTATTCTTTATGCGATAAATAACCTCTCTTTTGCAATTCACTTTTTATAAATGCATATAAATCCAAGTCGAATGGTATTTCAATCAGATCTATACCTTGCTTCTTGCATATCTCCCACTTTTTTTCGTCGCATGCCTTTTGCTTATTCAAATCAATTTGACCTTACTTGTAGAACATTGCATTCTGATGATAGTGTTGTACTCCTTGATGCTTCCATGCTAGGCGCAATTCCTCGTTATACCCATCAAGTCTGAGTCTACCTAAAAATTTATCCAAACATAGTGAGAACTTCTTATCTAATAAATCCTCAAAGATATATCTACAGCTTCACTTATTCTTATTGTGAAAACAAAGTGAACACCACTCAAATTTTGTTGCAATCAATAGAAATGAGTACTCAAACTGATACAGTCCATTTTCACAAGTCCAAAGAAATACATTCTGATTATTTATTCGCCTAGTTTTAGCTAAGATACTTCCACCACATCTTCCAGCATATTGTTGCACCTTGTCAAATTCATTATTAGAAATACAAATGAAATATATCGATCCAGAGGGGTGATATTTTTGTATAAACTCATCAGGTAGGTACTCAACCTTTTTAGGATTCTCGATTACTTGAAGCTTTTCTCTTTTAAAAGGTCTTTTGGGATTACGACCTATTAAATATTTAGTTAAATCAATTGGCTTATCTTCAAGATAGTATAAGACTGGCTGTAGTGAATTTTTACCAACAATAACTTTTTTGATTTTATAGATACGCAATGACTACTACGGGTTAGTTTTTCTATGCATATGCCCTCCTTCTAGCTTACCAGGTTTTAATAGATATCTTACTTTGAGCACCTTCTGTAATTGTGGTTTATCCTTTCCAATAGGTCTTTTAGGTTTGGTAGATACTTTAGATATTACTTCTCCTAATGATATTGCATATGATAGCAACATACCTATTAATCGAGTTTTATTATTATTCATATAGTCGATAATTTTCTAAAGGTTCTTGTTCCATAATTTCGAGCATTCACTTTTTTTGAGTTTTCCCTCTATGGCATATTGAATTTTGTATATAAGTCTCACCAAATCTTGTTTGAATTTTTTAACTAATG